TTTGACAAGTTGTTCTTGAAATGTTGTCGTTCCATGTCTTCGTTTTGTTTCTTCGTGAGACGCCATCGTTCCGCTCTGTCCCTCAAGTTGCACCTGACACGACGTCGCTCCAAGTTCTGCTTGCCTTCTTCTTCTGTTCAGAAAGCGGGGGAATCAATTCATTTGAATTGTTCCCTGATATAAAAAGCCACTGAAAATCTCCACCATCTCCATCGCTCTTCCTTGGCTTCCCCACTTGAAATTCATCTCATACCCCTCAATATCAAAGACTCAATAATCGCAATCAACAACCCTTCCTTTGCCAGCTCCTTCCACCCCGAACATCCACCTTTCCGCCCGCTTTCACCGCTTTCTAGCTCCACCAATGTCCTCCGTATCCCTTATGCCACAATGGGAATCTATGTTTCTCCACCTCCTTTCTTCATCGGAGCGCAACAAGCGTCCATGCAATTCTCAAAGAGCGAAGGGGGCAACTCGATCATGAGTCATTGCCGACAATCGGCAATGAAGCTGAGGTGGTAGAGAGTGTTGAGCAGAATGTTAGGGGTCCAAACCCTCTATCCAGGTCAAAACCTTCTAATTCTAGGGCTTTATGATTGCAAATCGAGATCAAGCCATACATATCAGAGAATCTGTAAGGTTAAGGGTCGTCATGTAAGTTACACTCATAAACAACATACGTTGAGCATCATGGTGCAAAGCATATCAGATGACCCTGATAACTAGAGAATCTTCTCTCCCTCCGACCTAAGCTCACGGTCAGGGGAGGACCCAGGGAGGATTGGGGGTGTCCCCAGACACCCCTAAAATCTCGGAGAAAATTTATCGAACCCCCGGTAGTAGTTTGAGCCTAGGCAAAAAAAGAGAAAAAAATAATGGTTAGTGGGATTTGAAACTGGGACACCCTAGTTATTAGCTAACATGTTTTCCACCACACTACAACTCACATCTTGTTGTAATTTTAAGATACGGATAGTTATAAACATATTAATTTTATCCACAATTTTACAACAAAACTCTAAAACTAAACACGAATCACATTCATCTTCGCAAAAATAGACTCTGTAGCTGCTTCCTTCAATGTTGCGCCGTTGAGCCTCCTCCGCGGGCCTCGCCCTCCTCCGCCGACCTCGCCCTCCATCGGCCTCATCCTTGTTCGTCGGCCTCCTCTGTTCGTTGAGTCCTCCTCCATTTCAGCCGCTGGCAGCTGCAACTTCCCCTGACGGTAAGCTTGAACTTGCTGCCATGATTCATGGATGATCTTGGAATTAAGAACTAGTGGGAGTAGACAAGCTGTTGCTGAGCGATGTGAGCAAGCCTTGGAACTTTTAAACCATGATAATTATCCAGTTAGTTCAAAGATCAGCTTTACAATCTCGCTCAGAAGCTTTTACAAGTTTGCCTGACCAAAGTAAAACATTAGGAATTGAAGAGAACAGAACTAACCTCTGCTTTTCGACATACAAGTATATAACAATTGATGATTCATGGTTTGACAAAGGCAGTAGCAATACAAGTATACAAAGATTAGGATCGCCTTTTCAATTGTTAATTCCAATTGTTAAGCAGCAGTTTTACAGTGGGGAAGCATAACTTTGGGTGGGGAATTCCAATCTAATTTGGGGAAGCATAACTTTTGGGTGGGGAAAGTAGCGGTAGTTTTACGGTGGAATTCCAATTCTAATTTTATGTACATTCTATGCTAGATCAGGTACCAATGGAAAGATACTACTCAAGACAGGTCCAATCTACTCCTAATGTTCAAACTAAAGGTGTTGAAGCTAGTGGGAGTAGAAAAGCTCAAACCTTTCCTCCTTCGTCGACAGTGGGAGCTCCTCAAATACAAGAACCAAATCTTTCAGGTTCAGTCAATCGAACTCCAGAAGAAAGTGAGTCTTTCTCAGCAGAGTCAGATAGAGAGTTTGATGAAAACTCTTTGGTGCTAGATCCTGCATTAAGAACTAAGATATCTAGCTTTCATCCCAATGTCCGTGACCAGGTTAGAAGATTTTATCTTCAAAAAGGTCATATTCAACCAATGAGTCATGCTTTTCCCGCCAGAAACTTTAGTGGAAGGCAACATAGATTCCAGGCTTCTTGGTTTAAGAAGTATAATTGGCTTGAATATAGTGTCTCAAAAGATGCTGCTTATTGTCTATATTGATATGTGTTCAGTAAGCGAGGTGGGAGTAATGATGGCTTTATTGGTGAAGGATTTAGAACATGGAATAAATTGAAAGCTTTTGATGATCATGTTGGGGAGCATAACAGCTACCACAATAGAGCTAAAAACAGTTTAGATATTTTATTGAAGCAATCAAGAGGAATTGAAGCTGCATTATTTAGACAATCAGATCAAGCCAAAAAAGATTATCGAATTCGTTTGGTTGCTTCACTTGATTGCATAAGGTGGCTAGTAGTGAATGGATTATCATTTCGAGGGCATGATGAATCTGCAACTTCAAGTAACAGATGTAACTTTCTTCAGCTATTAGATTTCCATGCTCTTGGTAGAGAAGATGTGCAAAGAGTGGTTGGGAGGAATGCTCCAAAGAATATCCAACTCACCTCTCTAAAGATTCAAAGAGATCTTATTCATGCCATGGCTTGTGAAACGACTAAGAAAATCATTGCAGAGATCGGGAATAATTTTTTTTTTCTTTTGCATATTGGTTGATGAGACTCGTGATATATCAATGAAAGAGCAGATGGCTATTGTTTTGCGTTATGTGAATTCTTATGGTTGTGTTATGGAAAGATTTCTTTGTACTTCTCATGTGCGAAATACTAAAGCTTTGACATTAAAAAGGAAATCGAAGCAATGCTTTTGAAACATGGATTGAGCATATCAATGATAAGGGGACAAGGCTATGATGGAGCTAGCAACATGAAAGGGGAAATAAATGGTTTGAAGACCTTGATCTTGGCTGAAAATTCTTCGGCATATTACATTCACTGCTTTGCTCATCAACTTCAATTAGCACTTGTTGCGGTAGCAGAAAATCACAAAGAAGTTGGTGACTTTTTCACAACAGTCAATAGTGTGACTAGTTTGGTTGCAGGATCTTGCAAACGAGCTGACATGGTTCGAGATAGCCAAACTAGGAAGCTTGCGGAGGCTATAGCTGCTAATGAACAAGAAACTGGACAAGGACTGAATCAAGAAATGAGTCTCAAAAGGTCAGGTGATACTCGTTGGGGTTCTTATTATGGTGCACTTCTCAATTTTGAGCACTTGTTCTCTACTATTATTAATGTGTTGGAGAGAATCGAGGATGATCCAACTACAGAACCAAAAACAGTGAGTCATGCATGGCGGATGTTGATTACAATTCAAGATTTCAGGTTTGTCTTCATTTTGAAGTTGATGATTGAAGTGTTAGCAATTACGAATGAGTAGTCACTAGCATTGCAAAGGAGAGATCAAGACATAGTAAATGCTATGAAACTTGTTCGTGTGGGAAAAACTAGATTACAAGAGATGAGAGATCGAGGATGGGAGTCTCTACTTGAGGATGTTATCTTGTTTTGCACTAAGGAATCTGTTCACGTTCTTGGCATGGGTGATGAGTATGTTCTTCCAGGACGATCAAGGCGCAAGGCTCCACAGATCACAAACTTGCATCACTATCAAGTTGAATTGTATTACTCTGTTCTTGATATGCAGCTGCAAGAGTTGAACAACCGTTTTGATGAGGTGAATACTAGGTTGTTGACTTGTATGGCTTCTCTTAGCCCGGAGAATGAGTTTGCTGCTTTTGACAGGGAGAATCTGGTTAGTCTTACTCGATTTTATCCTACATAGTTTGGTCATCTTTCTGACTCTTTTCTTCTAAGGGACTTTGAGAATTACTATCATTCTGTGAAGAATGATGAGTTATTCCATGGATTAAAAGGAATTGATGAATTGTGTCCGCTGATGGTGAAGACAAAAGTGAATCTATCATATCCATGGGTATATTTGCTTCTCAAAGTTGTATTGACTTTACCGGTTGCAACTACAAGTGTTGAAAGAGCCTTTTCAGCTTTGAGTTACATCAAGAACAAGCTTTGGAATCGACTAGGCGATCAATTTGTGAATGATTGTCTCGTAGGATATATTGAAAGAGATTTGCTGAATACTGTAGACACGAAGTGTATTTTAGAATATTTTCAGAATATGAAAACACGACGTGGAAATTTGTTGTAACTTGTATCAACTATCAACCAAATATTTGTGTTGTTGAATATTATTCGGATACTTTTCTTATTTAAGAATTATTTTATTTTTAATTTTATTTTGAAAGCGAACACCCCTACTCAAAATTCCTGGGTCCGCCACTGCTCACGGTCTAGAAAGTTGACCTTGCGGAGATTGAGGGGATAATGACATGACAAAACCTTGCCTACATACTTGTAGAAACTCGAGTAATGTTGGAAGTAATGCTGATTAAAGTCGAGAACAAAGACATGTTTCCAAACGCATCTCTAAAATTGGGACAGTACGGAGGTTTGAACGGTGGATTTTGAGTCGACGACGGTGGCTTTGTAAAGGGGGGGGGGGGGGGAGCAGTCCAGAGTCGATGGCAGTGCCTTTTGTAAGAGCGGCGGCAGGAGCGTCCAAGTTGAGGTTGGATTGTCCATAGTGAGGAGTTGATGGAGATTTTTAGTGGATTTTTATATTAAGATTAATAAATTTTTATATTATATTTTTTTAATTGACACATCAGCAACTTAACGGTCAAATATCATATTTGATTAACAAAACTGGACGACAAGTGGTCGGCGATGAAATAAAGCGTAAAGTTAGTGACAAATAAGAAACTAAAAAATTTGGGTGCTTAACGTGAAAAATATGATAATATGAGTGACCAAACATGTAATTTAGCCTCCCATTTTTTATGGGTTGGAGGATGAATGTGTAGTAGATTTAGAAGATTGGCTTTTTCCAAGCTAAGTTTGTGGAGAGTCTAAAAAAACTATTTCTTACCTTATAAAGGGATTGGTATTTTGTGGCAAAATGGGAGGAAAAGATGTATGTAACATGGAGGGAGGAAGAATGAAGCTCAAGAGATTGGAAAAATAGAGAGGAAGAAAGGAGTTGATGCTTCTATTTCTTAGGTGTGAAGTGGAAAAAGAGAAGTGAATGCATAATGAAGGATCTATCTAGTATCTAAAAATAAAAATAAAAACCAACTTTCCCTCCCTAATACCCTATAGCTATTATGAGGCCTTGGTCTCGCAATCTACGACGACGTGCCTCCGCATTCCAGACATATGGGCTTCTTAATGGGATGATCGACGACTATATAAGACCTCGATTGAAAATGGTAAGGTGCTCATCGCTCCTCGTATGCTCATTTTCTCCTTCCCTGTACAATTTAATTCACCACTAAGATTTTCAATGTCTGTTGAAATTATAGTAATCTACAATCATGAGATAATTTTTGTTGGTGAAGGTATGGTTGGGCTTAGTCTACTGCGGAGGATCCATGGTATAACGCCTTAGTTGGTCAGCCTTTGACACTTCCCTACGACTTACCCAATTCATCTTCTCTAACTCCGACAGTCGTAAGCGTGTTCATCGTGTGTCTCCTTGGATCTTGCATAGATTCTTGATTGAGATGCTTTCTTGATGCTCGCCTTCTACTGAAAATGTTGCTTCTCTATGCCGAGTTCCATTTTGGATTCAATTACGAAAGGTTCTAACAGAGGGTCATACGATTATGATGGCTAGATGCTTGAGTGTTGCTCTGGGCACAAAGAGGACACGTTGGCAAAAAGAGAGAGGGTGTTTACCTTCATGCTTGAGTGGTGATGAATGTCACTCTACCTCTCCCAATATTTTGTAAATGCCTCTCACGAGAACCTTAGTAAAGGTTCCTTCAAAGCTCTTGTGCTATTTGAAAATTTACCCTTTTATGTTTCTGTTGTGGCATGGTGGGATACACGAGCCTCTCGGTGTGTTATGACTACTGATTTCATTGGGAAGAACCTGTCGTATGTGAAGAGTCTCCTATCTTATGATATGGTCCATAGGTAGATGAAGGCACCCTCCAAAGGAACTACTCAGCTCACACAAAATGGACTTCTGTTTAGGCATCCACCTCAAGAACTATTTGGCATGGACATTTTCATCCACCTAAAAATGTAGTTCTTCAAAAATTATGAGAATTCAAAAAAATAAAAATTCATGACATTCGGATTGCGGAGCACAAAGTTATAGTCTTTAAAAGTTTGCCGAAATCGAAAATTGCTCGTTCGGGGTAGCAAACGACATTTTTTTGGGGATGAAGGCTCGTTGCGGATCGAAAGATCTTGCAAAGTTATGTGGAATAAAAAAAAAATCGCTACAATCGGATAACCGAGCGCAAAGTTATGATCTTTTGAAGTTTCAGTGTTAGGTTAGGCATTCACCGCGACCATCAATCGAGGTGATGCATTCACCGCTTTCGTCTGCCATGCATTCACTGCGGTTGACGACCGCAATGGTGCCCAAACATGTGTATTTTGGTAATTTTTAAAAAAATATGTGCATCCCAATTTACTGCCGTTAACGACAGCAGTGATGCTAAACACGTGTATTTTGGAAAATTTTTATAAAATGTGTGTATTTTGGTTTTTTTTTTAAATAGGTGTATTTTGGGATTTCTACCTATCAATGCGCCGATTCCCCTGTAAAAAAAAAAAAGCGCCGATTCCCCTCTAGCTCTACTGTTCAGAATTTGAAGCGAAGCAACCAATTTCACTCCACTGTCCTCCCCGCCCATCATCTCCTTCACCAATCACATTCCTATTCTCCTTACCAATAAACCAAGCAATTTCCCTGTCTCAAACGCAAAATCCTTAACTACCCCTCCAATTCCACAATCTTAAGTTGCTCGCAAGCGTAGAAGTTGAAAAAATACTGCCCGATGTTTCTCCGAGAAATCTAGGGTTTTGTACTTACTGCCGGTGGTGTTCCCTTTCTGTGCCTCCTTTCAGCTCAGGTATTCACTAGCCCCCTCCCTTGTTCCTGCATGGAAGTAAGGTACTTGCAGAAACCAACTGCATCTTCCATAAATTGCTCTCGTTTCATCTGTTTTATTCCTAGTTTTTTCATTGTGAATTCCTAGATCGGCAAGAGGAATTAGGCGGAATTCATTGTTGTTTTCCTTTTCCGAAATAGCTTTGTCCGAAACCATGTGAAGAAATTAAGTTGAGCTGTGTTGTTTCTTTGTTTCCTTGTCTGAATGTTCGTTTGTTCTTAGTACCATTTGTTTTAAACCGATATTCAATTAGGTTCGTAACTGGGGAAGCTATTAGGTCATGTTTCGCGTAGTCCTTCGTGTAATGAGATTATGAACGTTCTTAGTTGATTCGTGTGATTCAGAGTTAAGTAAATGATACATTTAGAGCAACCCATACTTCGTTTAGCCAGGGTTCTTTTCGGATTACCCATTTAGTCAGATTGGCTCTCTCATCTCCCCTTCTATGAAAAATGGTTGCTTTCTTGCTTTCTTGTGCTAGTCTGCTGATCTGTTCAAACATTTAATTGATTCTCTTGCATTTTGTTTCTTTTATCGTCAGTACCCATCGTTAGAAGATTTGTGTTCTGTTTTGGGTTCTTGTTGATTAAGGTGTGATGGTTGCCTTTTTCTGTCTTGCTTCTATTTCTTTGTTAGTCTGTAACATAATGAGAAGAAACTTTAGCCGTTTCTGTATTCAGCTTATTCTTCCATCTATGGTCCCCCTTCTTTTTTGCTCTTATTAGAATGTCCTTGGGTTGAAAAGCTTGCTGTATTGGTAGGAAAACTGTTGTATCGTGAAAATAAATTGTTGAGAACTTCTGCACTATTATAATTAAGTCAATTCCTGCCTAGGATAAATTTTAATTATAATTCTGTGTGTTGCAGTTTATTGCTTGTTGCATACTCTATTAATGATGTGGGTTGGTGTTTATGTCCAGGATTACTTCGAGATGGCTTTTGCATCGCAAGCTCACCAAATATCCTTGAAGCTGTGGCCTCCAAGTCAGAGTACGAGGTTAACACTCATTGAGCGAATGGCGAAGAATCTTACTACACCATCCACGATTTCGAGAAAGTATGGCCTGTTGAGCAAAGAAGAAGCTGAGGTGGATGCCAAGCAAATAGAACAACTGGCATTTGATGTTGCAAGCCAGCACCATCAGAAAGAAGCCGACGGTGATGGAAGTTCTGCAGTGCTACTGTATGCCAAGGAATCTAGCAAGCTTATGCTGGAGGTTCTTAAACGTGGTCCTAGAGTGACGGAGGAAGGAGCAGATATATCTACTGAAAATGGTAGAGCTCCCCAAGGAAGTGTTTTCGATATCTCCGGTGGTGAAAGGGCATTTATTGAAGCCAAGGAGGCTGAGGATCTTCTCAGACCGCTTAGTGAACCAGGAAATTCATTTAATAGAATATGTTTCAGCAACAGAAGTTTCGGCTTGGAAGCAGCCCTTGTGGCAAACCCCATATTGTCATCCATGAAGCACCAATTAACAGAAGTGGACTTATCAGATTTTGTTGCGGGAAGGCCAGAGGCTGAAGCACTTCAAGTGATGAATATTTTCTCATCAGCACTTGAAGGGTGTAATTTGAGGTATCTGGATCTTTCAAACAATGCTCTGGGGGAAAAGGGTATCAGGGCATTTGCGGCGCTCATTAAGTCGCAGCACAATCTGGAGGGGCTTTATTTGATAAATGATGGCATCTCCGAAGAAGCGGCGGTAGCAGTTTCTGAGTTACTTCCTTCCACTGAGAAGCTGAAGGTGCTTCAGTTTCACAACAACATGACTGGAGATTTAGGTGCTCTAGCTATTGCCAAGATTGTGAAACGTTCTCTTCTATTGGAAGATTTTAAATGCTCTTCAACAAGGGTGGATGCAGAAGGTGGTGTTGCTCTAGCTGAAGCTCTTGCGACATGTACTTGTATGAAGAAGCTTGATCTTCGTGACAACATGTTTGGTGTAGAAGCTGGAGTTGCTCTTAGCAAAGCTCTATTGGCTCTCACCGGGCTTACTGAGGTTTACCTGAATTATCTTAACTTAGAGGATGAGGGCACAGAAGCGATTGCCAATGCACTGAAAGAATCTGCACCTTCTCTTGAAGTTCTGGATATGGCTGGCAACGACATTACTGCAAAAGGTGCTTCTTCCTTGGCAGGATGTATCTTGGCTAAGCAGTTTCTCACCAAGTTAAACCTAGCCGAGAATGAGCTGAAGGATGAAGGTGCTATCTTGATTGCTAAGGCTATAGAAACAGGGCATGGCCAGTTGAACGAAGTCGATATAAGCACAAATGCAATTAGAAGAGCTGGAGCAAGATTATTGGCACAGGCTGTGGTGAATAAGCCTGGATTTAAGTTGCTCAATTTGAATGGTAATTTCATATCCGATGAAGGGATTGATGAAGTGAAGAAGATATTCAAGAGTTTGCCAACAGTTCTTGGCCCCTTGGATGAGAATGATCCTGAAGGTGAAGATTTTCGTGAGGATGGCGATGATGGCGATGAGGATGATGAACTGGAGTCAAGGCTCAAGGGGTTGGAGATCAAGAATGATGTGTGATATTGGACTTTCATTTCGAAAAATGCATCTAGCTAGGTAACCTTCTCTAAAATCTTCTTTTGAGAACCCCTTCTCTTTTGTTTAGGCTTGTCCAGCTGCATTACCTCAATGTAGAAGCTTTCTTTAACTGCTGCAGCTTAGGTCTCAATGGAAGTGTGAATGTATTCTATCCAGGAGTGGACATCTGAACGTTTGAGCAGTACAGCCTGTATTCGCCTTGGTATTTTTTGTATGATTATGGTATTCAGTAATCAATGTTGTACTCTACTATGTTTCTTTGTCCAGAATTCTGTGTTGGTTTTTCGTAAGGCTCTATGTACTCTGTGATTTGCCGTCAAATTTTGAAGTTCTAACAATTCGTAGCAACATACTGCTTTATTTTCGTATTTCCACTACAAACTGGGACTCTTCAACCAATGCATATTAGGCTTCCGTTATTACTTATTATCATAATATCAGCTCTGGTTGTTCAGACACAGACATGGATGTGCTGAAAGTGTGTTTGGCTGACTGATTTCCTAATTCATGGATTTTGAGTAGCAGATGGGTTTGGGGACTAGATTCAGGAAAGGTGGACTTTGAATCCCATTTATTTGGTGGATATGTGGATTGTGTAATGGTTCCTGTAATTACTAACTACATGGGAAGCATCAAAAGAAATTGCTTTACATATGCTTCCTTCAAAATATAGAGAAATGGTCTGATGGATTTCCAAGTCTTAAGGAGTGATGAGCTGCCATTTACAAATCCATCATCTTTTCAGCGATTTGTGAAGTCCTTGATTTCAATGATTTGCAAGGTTGGTTACTGGGATTATTAAAAACGTTTATGATGGATTTCCAAGTCTTAAGGAGTGATGAGTTGCCATTTACAAATCCATCATTGATTTCAATGATTTGAAAATCTCAAATACCATTCTTATGAGTTAATTGCAAGGTTGGTCACTGGGATTACTAAAAACGTTTCTGATGGATTTCCAAGATTTAAGGAGTGATGAGTTGCCATTTACAAATCCATCATTTTTTCAGCGATTTGTTAAGTCCTTGATTTCAATGATTTGAAAATCTCAACTTCAAATTTATAAAATTTTGCACACATAAATCAGATTAATTATGTTCTTTAAAATTTATAAAATCTCAACATCATTTTTCGCACAGATAAATCAGATTAATTATGCTCTTTAAAATGATATCCACTTTGATATATTTTTAGAAAAAAAAATTTTGAGTCATTTTTTACCAATCAATACCATATGGTATGCTCCTATTTAATACCATATGGTAAGAAAGCGTACTATGATGGTATGAACATACCAAGACTGTAGGAAGGTTGAATGCATGATAGTAGGAGTATACTAACTGTCATTTATGACTTTCATCATTGTTTACCACAAGTTACCACCCCCATACCAGAGTGGTAAAGTATGATAATTTTTTATCCTGTATTTCTTTACCCAGAAATTTGTAGATCCAATAGATCATGATAAACTCGTTACTTCTGAGCAAATATTTTCAAAAACGACTTAAAACGAAGAAGTTGTCATATGGTATGTAGTTGGTAACGGGAGGTATGGAAAAAAAGTTCTCAAAATATATTGAAAAATTGATCTCATTTTTAAGAGCACAACAAACTCGTTCCATCTGTGCAAAAAAAAAAAAATTGAAAGTCGAGTTAGAACGAATAAGATAAGAGTCGATTAAGAAAACTAGGGAAAATAAAATACCTTTGGGTTAATACCTTATTTTGGCCTCAACTATGACCATATAATCAACTTTGGCCAGTGGTTTCAGAAATTAACATCCTGGCCTCAACTATGTAACATATAGACTCCATTGGCCTGACACCTAGTTTGACCGTAAATTTAGATGGTCAACACCATTGACCGTTAGTCAACACGCCATGTCATGGCCTGATCAACCTAAAAATTATAAAAAAAATTGAAATTCAAACTATTTTTTAATTATTATTATTTATAATCAAATTAACAAAAAATAATTTATAAAAAACATAAAATAATTTTTTTTTATTTTTGTGTAATTTGAAAATGATAAATTTTATATATTAACCAAAAATTATCAAACTATGTTATATATTTAACTTTACAAAAATAAAATATATAATTTATATCATATTTATAAAATTTATAAAATTTAATTTGGTTAATTTGAACATGATAAATAATAGAAGTTAGGAAAATAATTTGATTTTGATTTTTTAAATAATTTTTAGGCTGACGAGCCAATGACATGGCGTGTTGACTAACGGTTAACGAGGTTGACCGTCCAAATTGACATGTGTCGGGCCAATTGAGTCTATATGCTACATAGTTGAGGTCAGGATGTTAATTTCTGAAACAACGGGCCAAAGTTGATTATATGGTCATAGTTCAGGCCAAAATAAGGTATTAACCCAATACCTTTAAGTCACAATTCTTAGATCTGGATTTTTTGGGTCCTCTTAGATTTAAAGGTGGAGATTTAGTTACTCATAATCAGTAACCAATGGTTACTGACCGTATCCCAAGCCCATTAGTCGTCCTCGTCCTCATCGCCTTTGTCGGTACTAGTCGATGCCACCAGTCATCACCATACTCGTCCACGCCAACCCTATCCCCTTTCTCCAACATTTGTGTCTTCTCGGTTTGACCCAATCGCCCATGAATCGCAGTCTCGAGGCGTATGGAAAAGTTATAGATTCTCACGTCTGCCACATCCTTAGACGGTGGAGCAACTCAAAAATTGTGATTGGTGTCTTCTTTTTTTTTTTTGATGAGAGGGAGGCAGAAACTGCCAAGATTACAAAGGCCCCAGGGCTAACACAAAAGAGAGAAGGTCACCTAACAAACCAACCACGAGCAGATGCTAGACAAAGCAGGGAAAGCCAACGACGCGAGGAGGTCAAGGGGCATCCCTCTGAGGCACTTGCCGAGGGAAGCTAACTCTGAGCATATCTTCACAGCAGATTCGATTCAGTTCTGATGGAGGATCATCCAATTCAAACGTACCAAAGGGATAGATGAGACTGTGCTTCGAGAGCCAGTCCGCGACTCTATTCCCTTCACGGTACGTATGAACCAGACGAACCACCCATTCTTTAGCAAGCAAGCGCCTAATAGCTCCTAAGATCGTCGAGTGAGGGTGAACATTGTCAGTTCTTTTTTCAATCAGATGGAGAGCAAGCTGAGAGTCCGACTCAAGGATCAGAAAACGCGAACCTTTCTTCCAGGCGAGCTCAAGGCCTTTTAGAATACCCCACAGCTCTGCCAAAATAGCTGAACCTGAGCCTAATTTACTGATGAAACCTCCTGTCCACATTCCGTCATGATCGCGAAGAGCTCCCCCTGTAGAGACAATCCCCTGATGACCCTGAGCAGCTCCGTCAGTGTTGAGTTTGTGCCAACCAACAGGAGGCTTTGACCAGCCAACTAAAACTTCTTCCCTACGATGAGGGCTGCTGGTAGAGAGGGTCTTGCTGGCTGAGTCCCAGGTTTTCGCCCAATCAGTAGCTTTGGCAGTAACATAGTGACAGAACGTGGGAATAGAGAGTTTGATACCCCTAAAGATGTTCTCGTTTCTGCACTTCCAAATGTACCAGATCATCAAGCTAAAGAAACTGTTCCAATTGCCCGTCCAGCTCCCCGTGGAGTCATCCTTCAGGTTCTCTTTGAACCAGGCTTCGTGAGACATGTTATAGAACTCAGCCTGATTCTGCTGCTCCACAGTCCTGTTCCAGACTACTTTGACTCTATGGCAATCCCGGAGACAGTGAAGGACAGTTTCCGGAGCCCCAGGGCAGTCCGGACAAGAATCATCTTGGGCTAGGTGTCTGTGCTTCCTTACACTGTTCGTGGTGATTTTTCCATGAGCTGCCATCCAAACAAAGACTCTAACACGTTCTGGCACCTGAAGTTTCCAGATTCGCTTCCAGATTTGGCTTGGTTGTTGTTCCTGTTGTTGAAGAATGGCCTTGTAAGCTGACTGAACAGAGAAATGTCCATTCGTCGTGAGGCTCCAAAAGCTTCGGTCTTCTTCCATAGCTAGAGGATCAATAGGAGTCGCCCTGATTTTGTCTGTGATCTGGTTTGGAAGCAGATGATGAAATTCCTCCATTCTCCAGCCGCTTTCAGGATCCCACATGTCGGCCACTGTCTTGTGTTTCTGATCTTCAGAGACATCAGCGACAGCACGTTCAATAAGGGGTACCTGCAAGATCCAAGGATCAAGCCAAAAATGAGTGTTTCTGCCGCTTTTAACGTTAATAGCCAGCCCTTTCTTAAGCAAATTAGCGGTAGAAACAAAGCTTCTCCATGCGAGAGAACTTCCCTGTTTTTTCTGCAAGATGTTGATCCCCTCCCTGTTTCCTCCATATTTTTCCAAGAGAAGCTTTGTCCAGAGGGAGTCTTCTCTTGTAGTGAGCTTCCAACCACCTTTAGCTAGCATCGCTTGGTTAGCTAGCTTTGTAGGGCGTATACCGATACCTCCTTGAGATTTGGGCGTCGTCATCAGCTCCCAAGCCACCGGGTGGAATTTCGATTTCCCATCTTCTTCTCCCCAAATAAATTGTCTGTTGATCCTGTCCAAATCATTGCAAACAGAAGCCGGGAGGAGTTCTGAAAACATAGGATAAACAGCCATAGAAGAGGCAACAGATCTCACCATGGTAATCCGAGAGGCAAGAGAGAGGCAGTTAGATTTCCAAGTAGCCAGCTTCTTTTGAATACGGAGAACCAGCTCTTTATAGCGAGTTTTGGTCACGCGGCCATGGATAGCATTCAGACCCAAGTATCGTCCCAGATCCGCAGTAAGAGGAATATTAGCTCGGTTGCTGAGATTTTGGGCCATATCCCTTCTGATGTTGGGAGACACATAGAGGACTGATTTATTCAGATTGACTTTCTGACCAGAGCTGGAGCAGAAGTCCTCCAAGCATTGTTTAATGATATCAATCTGTTTGCTCCCGGCCTCTGCAAAAAGAATGAGGTCATCTGCAAAGAAGAGGTGAGACAATTTAAAACCATGAGATGTAACAGAAAGCGGTTTCCATTGTCGGTCTGCTACTGCAATCTCAATTCTGTGAGCGAGACGCTCCATACAGAGAACAAAAAGGTACGGGGATAAGGGGTCTCCCTGTCGAACTCCTCTTGACGGCGTGATAGGATCCGTAAGCTTTCCGTTCCAGTTGATCCTCATCTTGTTTTCCTCCACACAAGTCATAATCCTGCTTATCCAAGTGCTTGGGAGACCGACTTCGATCAGGGTGTCTCTGATGAAATCCCATCTCAGCCTGCTTATCCAAGTGATTGGTGTCTTCTTTGGAATCAACTTCTGCTGTGTTCTCATTTACTGCTCCCTTAACTATTCACCATTCTCAACGAAGCTCCCATTGTAGCCAGTCATAATGGGATAAAGAGGGAGGGAGGTGGGCGATAAATTTGGGTCCCGAAAGCTGCAGGTGGGTCGAGGGAGCTTGAAAATGGAATGGCGATTGATGCCGATGAAAATGAAGTACCCCGAAGTCGTCGTCTCCAAACCCTTCATTGCCCTCAACAAATCCCCCCAATTAGTTTTCACCTACCTCCGTCGCCACTCTCCCACCAGCTCCTCCCTATTGATTCGTCGCGACATAAACCAAACCGTCCTCTCTCTCCACCTGTACCCACGTAGAGGGAGGAAAGGAAAAATTGAAATGAACGTCGCAATCACAAAGGGAAATTATGGGGTAAAAAGAACGATGGTTGCTTCCTCGACAGCAGCGAGCATCACTCCTCCGAGTCAGGTCCCATGCCCGGCAGCGCCGCCGTTGCCTCCTCCTCTGTACAGCAGGCAATTGGAATGGGGGAAGGATTGCTCAAAACTCGACAAAACCGAAAGGGAAGTAGGGATTAGGGAAGGGGGTTCGATTTGGGATGACTAAGATACATTATTAGATTAAAATAGAATTAGGTTTTAAATGCTGTGAATAAGAACTGGAAAATATAAAAAATTTAATTTGTTATTTTTTAATTGCCACGTCAGTCATTTAACGATCAACTATTGAGTTGACTGCCACGTAGAATAAAGTTAACGGAGTTGGACGGAGAGTGACTAATGATGAAACGAAAAATGTAAAGTTAGTGATGATGAACAAAATTAAATATTTCTAGTGACCAAACGTGAACGTTTTTAATAATCTCGGTGACCAACCTTACAATTAACCCATCATTCTTATGGAGTTATAGAACAAATTTCCATCAATTGACAGCTTATACATTACGAGCACAATCCATCCCGAGAACTAGGACTCCCCCAGCCGGCTCACCTTGAATTCTTTAATAAATGCCATGATCAGATGAAGAAGTGATGCTATACAAAACTCATGATGATAGGGTGTTGAACTACACAACAGCAAGAACTTTGAGGGATTCCAGGATCTTATGACTTTTACCAATCTTCACGTACTCCTCAAATCGCTCTTTCAAATCTTCAAGCAAGTTTTTGTTTTCCCACCATCCCATAATATCTGTTAGATGATATAAGGGATCGCTGATTCTTGTGTGGAAAGCCACTCATGCTTCTTGCTTAGTATTAATAGTTTACAAAGTATTTATAGGCATATAAGAGAAATGTTCAGATAAATACATTTATTACATGATCTAATAATATCTAGTATCAAATCTTGAACGTGATTTGGCTGATGTGGAGCATGAAACATGATCAGTGAATTATGCGGCACATGGACAAATTAACTCTACTAACAATATTTTTGGCTGCTCGTGGGCCGTGGCCCAGCATAAAGGGTGAAACACGCAACATACATATTATAATATTATTATATGATATATATATATATATTTTTTGGTTAAAATATGATATTTTCCTAGCATGCTGAATTGTTGATGGTAATTGGTATGGGCATCAACTTAGGAATGCACAGAAAGGAGGCTTCTTGTTTGCCATGTTTCTGAAGGGGAAAAGCTTTCTTCGCATCGATCCCGATAGCTTTGGCCTTTGGGACCATATTGAACGATCTCAACAGGGAGGCCAAAATCTATTTGAGGGAGAAATGAGAAACATTTTCTTAAGCCAAAATGATTTATTTGATTCGAAAAATTGTCAACATGGAGGCCAACAACTTGTACGCACAGCTTGGTCATTCCATCTCGAGTTACTACTTTGTGGCTCACTCATAATTTGAATTCTATTCACTACGTTATCAGGCCGGTACTACAGAATTTCAATTCGAAACCAGAACGAGTCTTCTATTTTCTAATTTTCCCGCAATAAATTAAGTAGAGAACAAAACCTTTGTCTCATCCAAATCAATAGGTTCCTATAAAAAGAGCGTAGTATTCCAAAATAAACTATTAATGATCGAATCATACAATAATGGTGTACTGGTGTTACAGGTCTAGTGTCCTGTTATTGATCAGGGTACCTAATTACAACAACAGAGACTATTCTAGTAGTGTTTTGTTGTTTGCTGTGTTTTATATTGAACATTGGCATTATCATCGCCATAAATATTTGTATGCCTAATTAAAAGCTAGACTAATTGAATTGTATAAGCATTAATCATGTTGAAGAAGAAGGACAATTAAATTAGGATTTTCAACTGCAAACAATATAAATTTATATGCATTTGACTATGAACTTGTTGTATTCATATATACGGTTGAACACAATTTACAGAAGATGAAGAATTCTGCTAATAAACTAATGAAGGGGGGCCAACTAACAAATAACAAAAATAGGGTCTAGGTTAGAATGCCAGCTGGCGAGTTCGTTGTTGCTGTCGAATCTCGAAATGCACCAGTTTGCGAACATAAGTGGCGTCACGCTCACTCTTCAAGTTGATCCACCACTGTGACTGTTACGTCTGATGTGGGTTTAGCGTCCTCCTAGACCCCCTCCGTCATAGCAGGATTTGCTTCTTCGTGGTTCCAGCCGCTGCTACTGCTGCTTCTATAACTGCAGTCGGCAGCTTCCTAGTGGGTCGTACGTGAAAGTCGAGGGCTTTGGAGTGCTTCCTCGAATCCTTGTGCGCCACGTATTCTCTCTCCAAATTCGCTTGCTGCGTAAGAAGATTTCCATAAGAGAAGATTTGGGGAATTGCTCATACTAAGCTTTCCATTACGCAGAGAGTATATACACTTTTACAAAGCAAAACAATGAAAAGGGGATCTACCTAGCCGTTAGTTTTTACACTAAGCTATCTACCAATATTCTCTATACATGCGTAAAGTCTGTACCGTAAAAACTTCTGCAAACTAAAGCAAAACCAAACGGTGTGTTGCCTTCATTCTCTGCGTCACTACGTCGTCGTTTTTCTTTCCCTTTTGCTGACCCTGTTCTTCGCATTTCTCCAGAGAACTTTCTTCCACAACAAGGCCAACAGGCTGCAACTACTTTGTTGACCTCGTGATTGTAACACCCCGAACCTTTTCCCTACAAGATACTATCCGCTTTGGGTCTCGACCCTCACGGATTTCGACTTGGGGTGCAATTCAAGGTGACTTCCCATAAGGTCTCCCATCCTTGCTGTACTCCACACTGAGCACGTTTAACTTCAGAGTTCTCACAAGAACTCCTCCATTACACCCCAAAACGCGGCTTGTCAGTTAAGGCCGGTTTCCTACTTATGAACCATGGATCTCTCCCGTACTTTGTCGATGTGGGATTTGTCTAAGGTGTTACATACACCCCCCCTTGGGACTCAACGCCCTCATTGAGGTTTGCCCCACCATCGTTCAAGAGGGACGCAGAGAGGCTCTGATACCACTTGTAACACCCCGAACATTTTCCCGACAAGTTACGGTCCGCTTTGGGCCTCGACCCTCACGGATTTCAACTTGGGGTGCAATTCAAGGTGACTTCCCATAAGGTCACCCATCTTTGTTGTACTCCACACTGAGCACGTTTAACTTCGGAGTTCTCACAAGAACTCCTCCATTACACCCCAAAACGCGTCTTGTCAGTTAAGGTCGGTTTCCTACTTATGAACCATGGATCTCTCCCGTGCTTTGTCGATGTGGGATTTGCCTAAGGTGTTACAAAAAATGCAGATATGGAATCCGACTGAAATGTTCTTCGCCAATCTTCTTTATAGAATAGAATAGAGAGAGAGAGAGAGAGAGAGAGAGAGAGAGAGAGAGAGAGAGAGAGAGAGAGGAGTTGGGCGGTGGGAGGGGAGGGGAGGGGCAGGGCGGGGAGGGTGGGAGGGAGTGTGTGTTGGGTGTGGGGAGGCGGGTAGCGGGAGGGGACGGGGAAATAGCAAGTGAGGGATGGCGGCAGGAGCTGACGCTGGAGAGAAAACGTAGGAGAAAGTGAAGTAGAAGAGAGAGGGTGGTAGTAGGGTTTGATTATAATATATAAAAATTTATTTTTTGAAAAATAATAATTAGGTGCAGTATCTTTTTTGTTACAAAATTATACTTAATCTAATCTTCACTGTCAATTTTTGGAGTGAGATCACTAAAGTGCACATCCGAGGAAAAGAAAAAATATTGTGGGTTCATCTCTCCTCTACCCACGACTGGCGGTTACATCCCCAAACCTTGCTGTCGTGAGAATACCTGCTCACGATCTCGGCGACGTGCCTTCGCTTTCTCAGTGGATTTAAGGCTTCGATTGATTATCACTAAGCAAATATTGCTTCATCATCTCCAATTCAATTCTCCTTTTTACTTTGCAACAAACCCTAATTTTTACCTTGCAATGACTGTTGAACTTTTTGTTGTCTTTAATGATGTTGTCGCCGTTATTGCGGAAGAGAAGGTTGAACTCAGTCTTTTAGGTAAGATCCATGGAACTTCTCCCTCCCTCGCCAGCCTGCAGAAATTTTTGGTGGATATCTAGAACTGTCGGGACTAGCTGACAGTGCTACTGGCGGACGAGGGCCTCACCCTATTCATTTTCTCTAATGCTTCGGATCCAGCCGCATTCGAGACCAATCTTCTTGGATTCAACCACGCTTCCTGATTCACCTTTGGTTCTGGTGTGTTCCTTCTGTGGAGATTGCAGAGTCCGTCTTTTCATGTTTCGGTGTGGGTTCGGTTCTGGAAAGTTCCTACATCAGGCCACACGCTTCTAATGGTGAGATGCTTAGGGTCTACCATGGGTGAATTGAAGAAGGCGATTGTTCATGTTTACCGCAAGACTGGAGGGGTTTACCTTAGGGAGAAGGTGGTCCTCAACATCACCCCGCCACTTCCTATCTCAGTGATAGCTTTACACGAGGATCGCAGTAAGGGTTGTTTCAAAGCTGTCATTTATTATGAAAACTGCCTCTTTTTTGCTTTTGCTTTGGTGTTATAAGCCACACTAGTGCTCGCCGTGACCTCATCTTCACTATGACTGTACAAGATCTTTCATATGGCAAGCACATCCTGGCTTGTGAAAAAGGCCCTTGCGTTGATGAGCACACTCAGCAAAGTAGATAGCTCGTTTCTCATCGAACCGCCCTGCACCGGAGGGACATCATGAAGTGTCTTCCTCCATTATGACTAGAGCTGTGGAGTCTCTGTGCGGATCGCATGACCACAACACCACTGGCCTGCAATGTCTGTCCCTTGGGCCTGCTCCCGATGCTCCTTCATCTTCACCTTCTGCTTCTCATTCTCGCAAACGTTACCTGATGGAAAATGGTGAAATACTGCCAACCCCTAAAGCTATTTGTGTAGAGGACTTAGCTGGGCTGGAGCTTATTACAACTAATTATGTTCAGGGGGAGGAAACCGGCCTCGATCACTCCAACCCTGGATATTAGTATCTAAATGTCATATTTAGTAGATCTCTTATGATTGCCTTCCTTAGTGAAACAAAGTGTCGTGATAGGAAAGTTTAATCATGGCTAGCTCGTTTAGGTTTCTCAAATTCTATTTTAGTGAGTCCCAATAACACTTTAGGGGCATGACGATTGCTTGGTTCTCTGAAGTAGCTTGTACATTCATATTTCAGTGTTCTTTTTTCGTGGTAATGGATTGTGTCCACCAAGTCTATGGTTGGTTTACTATTGTGTGCACTTGAGTTGTAATGAGAGTGATTGGTCTAATCAATTAAATAATATTTCTCCTTATCTCTTGCCCTTCTTGTCCCCTTTCTTTATTATGAGTGACTTTAACTATCTTCTAGCCTCATCTAAAAATTTTAGAGGATGAACTCCCTCTCCACATTCCTTGTCCTTGCTACAGAATTTTCTTGTTTAGCATAATTTGAAGGATTTTGGATTCCTCGACCCTCCTTTTACTTGGTCTAACCAAATATTGCCTCAGGAATATGTCATGGAGTGCCTCGATCGTTATTTGTCATCCCCATCACCCTTCACAACTTGAAAACGTATGCAACTTCATAAATTATCCGACCTTGGATATGACCACCGTATGATATTGTTACAGCTACATCCAGCGACAGCTCGTATGAAAGCAAACTTCCTTTTTTATGCACATTGGATTAATAATATACCAGCAAAAGATATGTTCGACACAGAATGGCATCGTCCTTGCAGTGGTACCTTGCAATTCCAGCTCCACAACACGTTAAAGCTATCTCGGCACCAACTCTTCCACTGGGCCTCCAAAACCACATCAAATTTCGCCCAAGCTATTTGGGAACTACATGACGCAGTCACCTCCATTTGTGAGACTCTTCCGTTAGATTGGTTTACCGTTAGTTAGCGGGAGCAACAATTATCCAAAGAATATATTCAAGAAGCAATATATTGGCAACGAAAATCCCTCACCCACTAGCTAACAGAAGGAGACTCCAACATGAGATTCTTCCACCTGACTACACTGCAAAGACAAAGAAAGAACATGATTGACTCACTCCTACTGTCACTCTAGAAAATGGGCAAGTGTAACCACTTCCTAAAGCGTAGTATAGCGGGTTTGGGTTTTAATGTCAACCCGGGTCCTAGATGTGATGACTACTCAGCGAATTCTTATTATTTAGCGGTGAAACTTTAGTGCAAGTTCAAACAAGCAAACAAGTAAGCAAGCAAGAAGGTTGTTTCAAGTTGAGAGAGGTCACCCGAATATGGTTCCTCCTAGACTGCAGTTGAGCCGGATTGTAATTTACCAAGTTCAGTTTTAATGATAGTTATACTGCGGGAGGTTCTTAAGCATTCTGAAGTCTCGACTAAAGGTCTCCAGACCCTTCAATCTGAGTCCCCCGCGGGCGACTAACCTCCATAGGAGTAAACAGATTGAGGCCCTAACGAACCAAACCTCCACTACCGAAGTAAATTCGGTACAAAATAATGAATTGGCTCCTCGACTAAAGTCGCCAATTCACTACCTTCAATTAAGGGTGCTCTATTAACCTAGGCAGATATTCTCTTTCTAGGCTAAAGCAGAAATAACATGAATTTGATCAGGATTCAAGTCATTCAATCATTCAAGCCTCAATTGAATATAATCCAATTATAAAATCTGTACTTGGGTTCATACAATCAGACCTAACATACAAATCTAGGGTTCTCCATACCCAGATGAATGAGAAAACTACTCCATGGAGAGAGAAGCAAAAGCAGATTCAGATGCGGAAACCATACTATGAGGGATGGGTTTCTGCTCCTGGTCGTCAATCGGCACTTCTCCAAGTGTGAGCCGAGCTCCAATGGTGATGAAGATCAAGCTAGGGCACTTGGGAACTCTGGTTCGTCGCTTTCTGTCTCTAGGAATCGCTTTGTCTCTCTAAAACTCGGAACCCCTTCTCCTTTGGCTCAAATCTGCCTAAAAGGCCGACCCTGGGCAAAACACGGTCGAGGGCACCGCCGTGCTTTGGTTTTGCCCGCCCGTGTTTTGCCCCGTGTTAAAAACACGCCCACGTCGGCCAAAACACGGTCAAACCAATGCAACTCTCCAGACCTCTATAGCAACAAACAACCCCGATCATCGGTAGAGGATTTTCTAGATCATATAGCAGCTTACGAGGTCAACTGGTCTTCTAAGACGTTCCCTATCTCTCTCAATGCGAGTACTAGACTCAGGCTAGGATCATGAGACGAAGTAGAAGTAAGACAGTCAGTTCATGGATAAAGGGACTCATGTCATTCTCAACCAAGGCCTCGTTGTACCGGGGTGCTCTTTTCACTTCATTTCACCGTTGGAACCCCTTTTTCACTTTCATTTTACTTTTTTTTTCTTTTTCATTCACTTGGCGGGTGTTCCAACAGCAATCTCTTACACGGTCGACCCTTATTAGTCGAGCAAGAGCAATTTATGTACATCAGGTGCTCGCCAGAGTACTTCTTTTAACTCCTTTTCCTCAACTCGTGTGGAGGGTCAATGAAATTAAGGGGGGTCGGAAGCTCTATCCGCGCCCTTAAAAACACATCCTCAAGTAGGCAAACCATTCAACGGGTGGGAGTTTTACTTGTACTAGAGACAGCTTAGCTTCACCTTGTAGGAGTACCCCACTAAGGATCACTAAAATCTCTTCCAAAACCCGATTTGGTGCAATGAACGGTGCCGCACACGTTGGGCTTACCCCATGTTTAAGATTTTGATGATTTTGACATGGAGGACCAACTGCATTTTTCATTTTCCACATGAACACCCTGTTTGATACACGAGTCCATAACACAATCCACATAGAGTCACCATTACCACATGAATTCAACGGTCCTAGCTCCACTAATTCACAAAATGAACTGGCACATCAGAGAGCTAGATAGGAAAAATCTTATACTTCAACATCCTCCATAGTGCTACACTACCTCCCTAGGTTGCACATTACTATAGAGACTGTCAATTCAAAGCATACTGAGCAGGCAATTTGCAAGGAAACACGTACTTGGAGCCCTCAAATTTAAAAATTTGGACAGTGGACTAGGCTCCAAGCACACAAACAGATCTAATGCAGTCAAAGGAGAAACATCCTCCCCCCCCCCCCCCCCCCCCACACTTAAGATCGACATTGCCCTCAATAGAGAAGAGGTAAAGATAAGGGGAACGATGGTACCGGTGTGCACGGACTACATGAGACTGGAAGTGGACCAGTCTGAGCGAAGAGTACTGGAGAGGGGACCACTCAGGGACAAAGCACAGCTAAAGGGAACAGAAGAACTCAAACACAAGATGTTAGGTCCAATGGTCAGCCCAATAATACATCATCCAAAACAAAAGAAAACAAACCAAAACCAAACCAGTTTACAATCCGACTCAAAACAAAAGAAATAAATGAAAACCGCGGTGGGGTTGCCTCCCCACAAGCGCTTCTTTACCTTCTTTTAGCTGGACGCCCATGGTGGATACTCAGCGGGGTGCAGGAACAGGTGCCTCCAAGAGCGGATCCACATCACTCTTGATGTACAGCTTCAGATGGTGACCATGCACCCGACGGGTGCGACCACCAGCATTGGTCAGCTCGACCTGGCCATCCGGCAAGATGCAGGCGAGTGAGTACTCGGATGGCCAGGGTGGTTGTGGTGCAGGAGGTGGAACCAGCTCATAGGGGTCTCCACCTTTCTTCCGTGCAGGCTTAGCCACCTGCGGCTTCGGGCGCCACTCCTCTTTGAGCTTTTTATTTGCAGGTGAGGTTGAATGGCGTGGCGGTGAAGGCGTGAGAGGGGAATCCTGCAACACGAGATGCACACAGGGGTACACGACATGCTCGTGTACCTGGTGAGATATGGCATGCATAGGTGTGACAGCAGGCATATCAAAATTATCAAGGTCAGCCACAGAAAAAGTAGTCTGTTCATTCCCAGCACGCAAGATCAGTTTACCACTATGCATATCAATAAGTGCCTTGGCGGTGGCAAGAAATGGTCTACCCAGAATCAAAGGCACATCCACATCCTCATTTATATCCAGAACAACAAAATCAATAGGATACATGAATGCGCCTACTTTAACAAGCATATCCTCTATGATACCCCTAGGATGCACAATAGAGCGATCAGCTTACCGAATGCTCATCCTAGCAGGGCTAAGTTCACCTAGGTTTAGCTTTTTAAACAGATTGTATGGCATGACATTTATGGTAGCGCCTAGGTCCGCCAATGACTTCCCTACATGCATGCTGCCAATATTAAGAGGGATAGTGAAACTCCCTGGGTCCTTGCGCTTTTCGGGCAGCTTGTTCTGTAAGATGGCAGAACACTCCTCGCTCAGCATCACTGTCGAAAGATCCCCAAGTTTCTTCTTTTTGCTGAGGAGATCCTTCATGAACTTGGTGTACTTGGGCATCTTCGACAGTGCCTCCATGAAATGTATGCTGATGTTGTGCTGCTTCAACATTGCCATGAACTTGGCAAACTCAGTCTCCAACTTATCTTTGTGTAGTCGAGTGGGGAAGGGAAGCTGGGGTACATGCTCCTTAACCACTGGTTGTGGTTTGGGAGCAGGGGCTTCCTTCTCCACCCTCACTTCTACATCATCGGCTGGAAGTACTGAAGCAGTCAGTGGCTCTTCCTCCCTAGCCTAGGAAGGTACCGCCGATGTGGACTTGCCACTCCTGGTGGTGATGGCATTCAGCTGCTGGTGCGGCTCCCGTGGATTGGGCATGGTAGTGGCAGGTAGAGTTTCCGGGGCCCGGGTATTAATTCTGCGAGCCATGCAACCCATCTGGTTCTGTAAATCTTGCAAAACAGCACCTTGGTTCCTCTGGCCTGCCTCCAGTGAGGCTATGCTCTGTTCCATCCTCGTGAAAGTTGCCTAGGTAGTAGTCATGAATGCCGCTAGAATGTTTTTCAGCTCCGTCATTTGATTATCTGGAGCCGGAGCTGCTGCTGACTCAGCATACTGACGCTGAGGCTCCTGCTGAGGAACTGGCCCCTGTCTAGCCTGGAAAGGCTGCCTCTGCTGAAAACCACCTGCTGGTGCTGGGAAACCAGGTGGCTTAGTGGTGTTGCTATTCCAAGAGAAGTTGGGATGCTGGCGCCACCCCTCATTGTATGTATTGCTATA